AAATTTTCCGTCGGTTTTTTAAAATATGAAATAATAATAATAATAATAATAAATTTTTTTTTTTTTAAATTTTTTATTCTTTGTAAAATGAAAATTGCTGACCACGTGATGAACGGACAATTTTTTTTTTTTTTTTTGTATTACTAATAATGCTAAATCATCATCATCATCATCATCATAAAAAAAAATTACAGTTAATGCATTATAATGGCGTCCTTCGATGGTTTTTTTTTTTTTTTGCACCTTTGAAACTTTTTTTTTTTTTCAGCTAAGAAATTGCTTATTAATAATAGTATTAGTTATACAAATAATAATAATAATAATAATAATAATTTTTTTTGTTGTTGTTGCAGCACAGGAAGCCTGAATAAGAAATTTAAAAAAAAAATTATTATTATTATTATTATTTTTATAATATGATTATATTTTTTGCATGATTATTCCAATAATAATAATAATAATTTAATCATATTCAGCACCGATGGTTACGCTCATGTCATTGGAAACAATTTTCGTACTGTGATACCAAAGATTTGTATCCAAAACAACTGAAACATGATTTTAAATTATGTTTTTGTGTTTTTCACGTGGAAAACACGCGAATTAAACGTGTATTTATTATTACTTATTTCTCCAGGTTCCACGACGACTTGAACGCTATCACATTCGTAATAACATTCTGGAGGGGGTTGCAATTCCCATTTTTTTTTCCCTTTTAATTGCGCTTGCCAAGATGGATGTTCGACATTATCAACCTTAAAAATTTTTTTTTTTTTTTTGTAAAATCAAAGTAAAAGTAGTAGTAGTGGTGGTAATAATAATAATAATAATAATAATAATAATAATAATAAATTTTTTAGAAATGAAATTGAAAGGATTTGAATTGTTCGTGTTATTTTTTAGGTACCATGGATCGATCAACCTTGAAAATTTTGCTTCGTTTAATATAAAAAAAAAAAAAAAAATTGAATTAAATTACGCTTACGTGCATTGGAGCACCGTAACCGGTGCTACCCATAAATATCCAATCGAGTTTTTTAGTTTCCGCCGTTTCCGGTAGAAAATATGGTTTTTCATAATGGCGTCTTAATATTTGATTTATTTCATTATCGCAATTACTCCTGGAAAAATCAAAGGAAAAACTAATCCGAAGAAAAATAAAGGGGAAAGGAAAGGTTTTTTTGACTTACCATCCGACGTACCAAGGTTCGGTACCTTTTAAAAGATACGCTCTTTCTTTACTCATGTTAAAAACTTGTCCCAAATGTTTAAATTCCGTTTTATATGGGAAAAATTGACAATTGTGTTGACTCCATTCTCCCATTCTTTCCGTGTATATTTTTTTAAAAAATTCAAAATCGAAAACGTTTTGCGCCGTCCAATTTTTCATGCCGTCGACTATGACGACGGGTTTTCCAGTGTAAGCATACCTGAATTTTCCATAATTTAATAAATAGTTTCTTTAAATTTTAAATAATTTGACCTTTTTACCTTTCTTCGAATACATCCGGTGATAAATTTGAAACTTTTTCAATTTTTTTAACACCACGACAAATTTCACATTTAACCGGCGGTCGGAAAATTTTTGTTAAATCATCGGACATTGTTAAAATACACTGCGGACAACCAAAAAAAATTAATTTTATCATCAAGTTGTTTGTTTGATAAGAGATAATAATAATAATAATTGAACTTACAGGCTCCATATTTAAATTACCATCGTTCCATTTTTTCCAAATAATTATTATTTCGTTTAATACGTGGATTTTTGTCAAATAAGTAAAAACCGTTAGAAATCCAATTAGTGATAATAATAAAAAAAAATTTTTCTTTTTCCAAAAATTTCCTCCAGATTTTCCCGATGATAATTTATCCAAAAGTTTTTTCGTACTTTCGAGTTTGATGACGTCATTCCAATGAAAATTATTTTTTTTAATATTTTTTATTATTTTATTTAATTTTTTTTGCGCTTCGATAATTTTTTCCCTCGATTTTGACGTCATACGTAAAAAAAATTATCAAACCTTAAACCAAAGCCAAAAAATTTTCTTTTTTGAACAAAAACTGATTGTATTCGAGAACAAAAAAAAAGAAAAACTATTTTCCCTCCAAGAAAAAGGCTTTGTAGAATTTGAACAATAAATAGTTGAAGACTGAACACATTCTTTTTTCCATTAAAATTTTTTAACACGGAGCATGTTCACTTTGGCTCCCCACATATTTTTTTTCCTTTTATCAATTTGACAGAACATTTAGTTCTGGGGATAATCGGAAAAACCACCCAATTTCCCTTTTATTTAATTATAAATAAAATAATTATTACGAATCCGACGGAAAAAAAAAATTTATTAAAATTTTATGAAATTTTCTTATTTTAATTTTAACGGATTTTCCAACTCGTTCTCAATTTTTATTTCTTTTAAACAAAAAAAAATGGGGGGACTTTACAAAAATTTAAACCGGGAAATTTTAAATTTGTTGATGATGCTCATCATCATCATCATCATCATCATCGTGTTCGACTGAGCGGAAGTAAATAACATTTTATTAAATTTTCCTTTCTTTTAAAAGAAAAAAATTATCTTCCGCTACCGGATGACGTCGACGTACCATAAATAAAATTACTTTAAGACAAATGATGATGATGATGATGATGATGATAATATTTTTTTAACGGATGTAAATTCGATTTTTAATATCGATCGATCGATCGATCGATTGGTACTTTTTTTTTAAAATAAAAAATTTTTCGCATTGTGACGATCGATTGAAACGAAACATCTTCGCGAAACCTGTGCGGGGGATGGGAAAGAGGGAATGTGGGAGGAGTGAGGGAGAGGAAGGGGAAACGTGAAACTTGAATAAATTGCATATATGTGCAATAATATCAGGTATACCACGCAACGGTGTGTGTAATAAGACCGCAACGTTATCTAAATCCAGGTTTTTTCAATAGGAAAATAAAAGCAAGAAAAGCAAAAAAAAAACTTTTATGGTTACATGATATATAAAAAAAAAAAAAATCGAAGAACCAAATTTCACTAATGTCAGCAACCAGTCGTGATTTTTCTCATTCATTTCTTTTTATTTTTTTATTAAATATTTATAATAATAATAATAATAATAGAAGGGGAAAATATTTTCTATGAAATTTTCTTTTGTATTTTTTTTTCTTTTTAATGCACACGCACACGCACGCACACACACACACAAATTAAATATGGCTGCCGATCACAAAATGTGAAATTTTTTTTCCCCAATAAGAAAAAGAAAAAAAAATTAAATTTTTTCGAAGGCGGGGGAAGAGGAAGGGCTAATTTTAACTATTTGTTTTCTTATGACATCTTTAATTCCATCCCTCTACTTCCACCTCCCCCCGAATTTTCCGACGGAAATAAATTTACAATTAAGTTTTGGGTTAAAGTTAAGAAATTGGTCGATCCTTTTCAACAATTTAACCTTTTTTAAACAAAAAATAAAATCGATTTAAAAAAAAAGAATAGAAAATCGAATGAAATATAATATATTGTATAGTATTATTATTATTATAAAAAGTAAAAATGAAATAATAATAATAATAATAATAATAATAATATTGTGTCGTAAGAAATAACACATACTGTTGTATAAATTTGAGAATTTAGCAAGAATCAAATAAAAATTGTCGAGTAAGCAACAGATTAGCTGAAAATAAATATTAGTTGCGATTTAAAATCTCTCATTTTTATTTATAATAAAATATCATTTCGTACCTGAATTTCGGTTAGGTCGGAACTAAAAAAAAAAAAATTTTTTTTAAATTAAAAAAAAATTTTGAATTAATTTTAAAATGAAATGAATCGTATAAGTGTTCATCTAAACGAATCGTTTTTATATTATTATTATATTTTGAGGTAATTAAAGTGTTTATTTATTTTATTGTAATTAAAATAATTCGTATTATTATTATTATTATTATTATTATTTTAATTAAATTTTAAATAAAATTTTTTTTTCGTTTTGCAGATGATTATTTGGAATTTTTTTTAAAAAAAAGGATAAAATTTTTTTTTATTTATAATACCTGACGATGTGATGTGCTTGTGTGCTTTCGTGTTTTTAAATGATGGCCCACACTCACATTACTATTGCCAGATGTTACAATCAACCCCAATTTTTAATTAAATTATTATCGATAAAGATTCAATCCGAGATGCTGTCATGATTTTTTTTTTTTTTTTTTAAATTTATTTTTATTTTTGTGCCATTTTGTGTGTGTGTGTGTGTGTGTGTGCGAATTCATTAATCAGTGTGTATATACCTGTACCTGATTTGTATATATATATATATGTGGTTACATATTTTTTTTAAAACAATTATAATTAATTTTCAATTTTTTTTTTTTTTATTTTGTGGATTGTTTATGTAAAAAAAAAAAATAATCCTTCTTTACCTTTTTATGTTTTCCGAAGGAACGTTTTCTATTTTATTTTATTTTATTTTTTCTATTTATTAAAAATAAATAAATTATTTATTTATTTATTTAAACATTAAAACTTTTTATTAGGCACCTACTATTGATTTATTATAATCGATTAATTTTGTTCCAATTTTGTGGTTTTCAATAAAAAAAAAAAAAAAAATTTTACTTTTTTTAATTTCTTTTATTATTATTATTATTATTATTATTTAATTGATTATTTTTTAATTTTTATAATAAACAAAAATTTGTAGTAATAATAATAATAATAATAATAATAATAATAAATGTAAGAAACGAAAAAATAGATATTATTATTATTATTAGAAAAAACTTTTTAAAATTTCTTTTTGTTTTTTTTTCCCCGCGAATATTTTATCAATTGGAAAAATTTATATATATATATATATATATTTATTCTTATCAATAATAATAATAATAATAAAAGTTAAAACTTTTTCGATATATAAAAAAAAAATATTAATAAAAAAAAATATCAATAAAAAAAAAAATATCAATATCTCGATATCAATAATAATACTTTTACATAATTTTTTTTCATTTTTTTTTTTTCGTTAAATAAAATTTTTTTAAATAAATAAATAAATAAATAATAATCGAAGGGAATTGATTGATTATTTTAATAAAATAATAAATTATGTTTAAAAAAAAATATTTATTAATAATACTTATTAAAGAATATGAAAACAATTTATGTAAATATTTGCACTTGAAAAACAAAAAAGAAAATAGAAAAAACAAATGTATTTTCAATAATAATTAATTTTTTTTCAAATTAAAAATACAAAAAAAAAAAAAAAATGGTAATAATGATAATAATAATAATAATGATTAACAATAAATTTTATTAATTTAACATAATAACATGGCGCTTTTCGCGATTTTAATTTTTTTTAAAATAGATTTTTATTTAAAAAAATTTTTTTTTTAATAATACGACGGAAAAATAAATGAGCTTTTTTTAACAAAATGAAAACAAAATTATTATTATTAACTTGAAACAACAATCTCAAGTAAATAATAATATTAATAAATAAAAATAATGATGATAATAATAATAACTAAAGCTGCATGGACACTTAAAAATTCTTTTTAAAAAAAAAAAAAAAAAAAAAAAAAAACTATCCCGCTTACTTTGCAACTTACTTATCTATCTATATATATATATATATATATATATATATATATAATCTTTACATATCAGTCATAATAAAAAAATAAATTAATTAGGCACACCCGATTTACAGCCGGGAATTTTCTTCTAAATTTTTAATTTTATTAAATATCCTATAAATAAATGACTTTAATAATAACATCACGATATGTAATTATTATTATTATTATATATTATTAATAATTTTTTTTTTCACTATGTATACATATGTAATTACGCGCGTGCGTAAAAATTTCATTTTCACGCACGCACTTACGTATATTTATTTATTTATTGATATTTATTTATGTACAAATTTAATTATTTAAAGTTTTAACATTCAAATAATTTTCTCATATATATATTTATTTAAATAATTTTTTTTTTCACTCGTAACGATTCTTTTTTTTTTTTTATTATTTAAGGGCACGAATTATTATTATTATTATTATTTACTTCAAAGAAAAAAAGTTTTAAATGGTCCACCTAAATATTTGTTTGTAAGAAATTTGTTTTTTTTTATTTACATCTAAATAGTATAAAGCGTTTTTTTCTTTTTGTTGTGTAGATATTTCTAGAATAAAAAATATACACCGTGTTGTAAATAGACCGTGTTTGTGACTGTGTACGTGTAACTAGAAAAAAAAAAAAAAAACGTGATCTCGACGATATGTGTCAACACTTTGTTCGACCGTCTAAAAGTCTTTTCCACAAATCGTATTGTTCGAAAGGTTTGACCATGTGTATGCTGATTGCTTTGTGTATGTAACAAGAGGTCACGCTCAATCGTCGATTTAAAAATTCCGGAACGTGAACTCTTCGTATCCCTTTTTCTTGAGCAACGATTCCCGTCATGAAGACGTCTTCCAATTTTAGATACGTCATGTTCAACGCTGTCGTGTACAAATCGTGTATAACGTCGGACGTAATCAAGTAAGCCGGTCCCGTCGTGAAACTCGGAAATATGGAATGCTTGTACTGTTGAAGAGAGACGTAATATTTCGATGCTTTTTTCCTTATGGGTTTCCACTTGCTCGCAAGCTTTCCAAATATTTTCCTTTTGTCGTTCCCATGTTTCCCTATGAAATCTTTTTTTTTGGGAATGTTTATGAACATGTCGTCGTCCGTTTTGAGTACGAATTTGGCTTTGTTGCAATAATTATCGACCCATTCCAACATGGACGTCGTTTTTAACGTTAAATTATTATAGGAATCTATAAAGCTACCTAATATTATGTCTTCGTACAACGAATTCTCGTCTTTTATGTAACTTTCGTTGCCCTTGAGAGAACGACCGAGTACGAAAGCCATTGAAACGTCTTTACGCATTCTAAAATGTCCCCACGTTTGACGTATGGCTTTTCTAGCTTCCACGTGGTTCGGAGCCGACGTTATAAGTATTATCAATTTGAGATGTTGTCCAAAATCAGGACATAAATCTACGTTTGGCACTCGAAATCCCGAATCGTAAAGGCTTCTTGTTGCGATTCCCTACGACAAACAATTGACCGCACGTTTAAACAAACAAGAGACAAATAAAACAATTAAATCCGATAATTATAATAATTTCTAACAAACAAACAAAAACAACATAAACTAACAATTTTACTGAAAAAAAAAAAAAAAACCTGATAAACAAAATCACATTTAATTTATTTACCTGTATTACACGACCATAAAAAGTTAATTAAGAAAAAAAAAATAGTACAAATTGCAAGGCCATAATAATAATAATAAAATAAGGTAAATAAAATTTTTCATTAACCTGAGGCTATTACGAGTAAATAGAAAAAAAAAATGTGCAACAAAAATACATAAAAATTTATGTATTTACTTAAATTTGAAAATGAATTTTTTTATTTAATTACCTGCATTATGTAATCTACGGTTACATTTTCCGATTTCGGCGGTACTTTTTGAATGACACTTGATTGACCGTTGGCCGAATGTGATGATGATAATGATGATGATGGATTGTCTTTTGTTGTATTATTATTATTATTTAAATTATTATTATTAGGAACTTTATTTGTTGGTGCATTGAAAATTTTCTTATCTTGCAATTTATCGCTAATTATTTGATTTAAATTAAAAATACTATTATTATTATTATTATTATTTTTGTTGCTAATACTGCTCAATACAGCATATAAATTTGATAATGATTTTTCTTTCTTTTCCATCCGACTAGATGTTGATATTGATTCATTTCCAAAACCTGAAACATAAATTTTTTAAAAAAAAAAAATAAAAACTCTCTTTTTCTAATACTCTTTGACAAAATTCAACATTTTTTTCAATCTCTTCCCCCCTCCTCTCTCTCTCTCTCTTTCATTACCCTCAATCAATAAAACAACGTATAATTTATTTAACCTTTAAACTAAAATTACCCCTTATAAAATCATTAAATATTTCGTCAGGGAAGAGAGAGAGAGAGAAAATTATCAATATTTAATTAATTACTACGGCCTTATAACCTTAGCCAGGCACGACCGTGCTTTTAAATATATATATATATTTTTATGATATCTCCCCACACTGATACCTGCCCCCCTCCCCGCCTTCAATGTCATAAAAACCAGTTATTAATCGTTGTACCCGCATGTACATAATCACTTTATCACTTTTCTGTTTGTTTAAATGTGTGGATTTCTCATAACGTAATTAAATAAAATAAAATAAAATAAAACCTGCATTTTTTTTTCTATTCACCTTCTTCTATTCTTAAATAATAATAAATTTTTCTTTACGTAATCACCACCGTAATTCACTTTATTATCATTATTATTATTATTACGCGTTTCATATATATTAATTATTAACGTAATTATTTTCCATTCTATTATTACAATTACTACTTTATCCCTATCCCACCATTTTTTTCTTAACCTCACCGATAAAAAAAAAATCGATATATTCCATTTTATTATCATCATTATTTTTTTCCATATTACCGACCGCATTTATAATTTAATCATTCCATCAATTTGTATGTAAATTTTATAGATTCGATGTGAATAATCATTTCCCAATAATTCATATTCATTGTCGCCAATATTTCCCTCGATCGATTACATCGAATGAATGATATTAATGATGATGATGATGATTTTTACCTTTGTTTTTGACGGCGACTCTATAAAGTGGTCCATCTAAACTCGACGTGTATATCGTGTATAAGAAATAAACGAATCCGGTCACAGAAACAAGAATGACGAAAAGGGTTCTACTTGGTGGAGCCATTTAATCCGATAATATAATTAAAAACATTTCTATGGACCGTGAGGCGAATCTGTTGGAGGGAAAAAAAAATTATTATCATCATCATCATCATCGTGTGAAATTTAAATAAATTTAAAATAATGTACAATTTCTTTACCCTTTAAAAAAAAATCCTAGATTGTATAAGAAATCGGCGTAAATCCAAAAATACTCATGTATCCGAGCATGTGCATAACTAATATATTATTATTATTATTATTATTATTATTATTATTATTATTATTATCGAAGAATTTTTCTAATAATTTCATAATTATTTTAATCCACAGAAAACCCGAAGCAGAAGAAGAAGATGAACGAATTCATATGTTGTCGTCGTGGTGTTCGTGTGAATTTTTTATGCATGTGGTGTGCATGTGAATGACTGCGTGCCTGTGTGCCTGTGTGCCTGGGCGTGTGAGTGTGCCTTTGTAAATTTTTTTTGTTTCCCTCCAAAATACGACAGATTAAAAATAAATATCCTTTAACTTTCTTTCTTTCTTTCTTCAATGTACTACGACTTTAAAAATACCTGAAAAAAATAAAAATAAAATTTAAATTTTTCTTTCTTTCTCTCTCTCTCTCTCTCTCTGTCTCTCTTCCCCCCACCACCCCCTCCCAACTTACTATTGAGCAGGTTAAGACACTCGAAACATTTTTCCATCGTAAAAAAAAATCATACAACGTTTTTTTTTTTTTTAATTATCCGGATGTAGTAAAAAAAAACATGAATTTTTTTTTTCCAGTTCCAGTTAAAAAATCCGGTTTTTCTTTTAACCATAATTTATTTTATTATAATTATTTAAAATATTTACGTTCCAAAAAAAAAAAAAAAAAAAAGAAGAAAAAAAATCCTTTACTTTATTTTCCAGTTTATTTTCATTCACTTTTTTTTTTTTTTAAATTTTTAAATTTTCAAAATGGCGACACACAAAATGATTAACTTAATTTGATAATTTGAAACAAAAAAAACATCGGATGTTGTCAGTCATTAAATATTGCCGTTTAAAAATTTAAACTAATTGTTTTTTCAACAACAAAAAAAAATGTAAATAAATGACAATTTTTTACATAAAACGAGTAGTAGTAAAGCACCAAAAAAAATTTTCTTGATTTATTTACATTTTTAAATTGTTTGTCGTCATTACATAAACTTAAATTAATTTTAAAAAAGTTTTTTTTTTAGATTTTTTCAAATAAATCGTCATTATACTCTAATCGACGACGATAATTTATTTCTATTATTATTATTATTATTAATAAACCCGGATTTAAGTCTTTAAACGTTCTTTTTTTTTTTTTTTTTTTTTTTTAAATTTTGTTGTTGTGCTTTTAAAGCTTTCTAGTGCTTTTGAACTTTATAAAAGCTAAAAACGTTTTTTAACAGGTGTATAATGGGTGGGTGGACGTTTTAACCTTCGTCTTACACACGCGTGCAACAAGGATGGATGATTTTAATGCATAATAATAATAATAATAATAATTTTTTTTAATACAGTTTTAATGGTTTAATAAAAATTAATTTTTTATTTTCCTTTATTTTATTTTATCTTTAATAGGAGGGATGTAAAGTCATTACGAAAGAGGAGCATACAAATTTTTTTTTTTTTGTTTTCACTATAATAATAATAAATTAATTTAAAAAAAAACATTTTCCAACTTGATGATAATGATAACATTGTCAACCTGTTTGTTGTCAATTACAAATCATACTTTATGTTCGATATAAAATGTTAACCCAAAAACAACAACAACAACACTCACTTTTTTTTTTTTTTTTGGCAAATTTTTTCCTTAAGAAATTTATTATTATTATTATTACCGCATGGTATGCATATATGTATGCGACACGTACTTATGTTTTTTATCAAATATGAAATTAACCGAGGAAAATGAAATAATTAAAAATTACGACTTTTGAGGAGGAAAAACAGATGAAAATGTTTAGATTCTCAAGGAAAAACTTTTTTTCCCCCACCACACCAGTAATCGAACCGTGGTCAGTTCATTTATACAAAAAAAAAAAAAAAAAAGAAAACTTTCGAGATTTTCCGTAAATAGAAGTTTTCAAAACAAACGAGTAACGGTTTCGATACTTTCTCATTCGAGAAAATTTCACGTGTAAAAAAATTATTAATACTACCGTTATTGATTAATTGAAATTATTTATTGTAAATTATTGCCGGCAATACAGTCAAGCGATCCTTTTTTGTTTTCAAGCCACCCTCAGGCGAAAAATTTAGAAATCAATAATAAAAAAAAAAAAAAATTGATGGTTTAAAGCTCATTTATGAACATGTTTATATGATGTAGATAATTTCAATAAGCTTTTGAGCTTTCTGAAAGCCCATACGGGATTGGGTGCCGCGTTTTTTCAGTTTCTATCTCAGCTTACTAAGAATGCAAAGCTCTGTGTCCTAATTGTTGGGTATAATTAAAAAATCATGAATGAAACCAAATGTTTTAAGGGGGGGGGGAGCAAAGATTGACGAATCGCAATACACTCGAAAAATACTTAATTACGTACATATATAAACAAAAATTAAATTTGATATTTTTGACGATTACTTACGGGGAAATAAAATTTAAAAAAAAGTATTATTTACAAAAAAGTAAAACAGACAATGAACAGATCAGCCAACCCTCTTACACGTCACAGTTTTTTTTTTTTTCAAATAAACTTTTTTTTAAAACTTACAAACGACGAGATGTGCACAAAAAACTTTTACTTTTGCAAATTTTTGGCTCAAAAATGGATAATCCTTATCGAAATGAATGACGAAGACATCAATTTTTCCAATTAAACCATCTTAACACACACACACACACACACACACGCTAAAAATTTTCACACGATTGAATCACAAACAAACCACAGGTATCAGACAAGTGTAAAAAAAAATAGCAGGTACAAAAAAAAAAAAAATTAACGTATTAATTGTATATAAAAAAAAAAAAACCCATTACTCATAATAAAAAAAAAGCCAAAAGTTTTTAATGAAATTAAAAAAAAAAAGAAAAAAATAAGGAACACACGTATAAATTCAAATATTTATTAAAAAAAAAAAAAATCACGTGATTCGAATCGAAAAAAAATTTCATAATATGTAATCGAATTTTATTATATCAAATTATTATTATTATTATTTTTTTTTTTAGGTAAGTTCAAGGTTGAATAAAAACGTACCTTATTTTGCCTAAAAAAATTAGATCTTCGAACGCTTGTTCGTTATTTTGAAAAGACCTTCACAGGTTGTTTCGAGGGAATTTTTTTAAAAAAATTTTTACTTTCGTGTCAGCAGACAGAAACCTAATCGAAAAAAAAAAAAACCTACTACTACCTTTCTTCTTTTTTAAATTCTCAAATCAGGTTAAAAATTTTTTTTTATTCTTTTACTTCTGGCCTTGTGGAACAAAAACAAAAAAAAGAAAAATTACTCACACACTTATTCGCAAACATAATTAGGTACATACATATATAAATATTAATAAAATTTGGTAAAACATCATTTATTTTATAACCAGGTATTTGAGACATTTTCCTCTTCCTACATTTTAAAATAAAAAATTTTTTATTATTGAATATAAAAACGAGGTTTTTAGCATAACACACACACACACACACAACATAATCTTTACAACGCAAAAAAAAAAAAAGCTACAACTTTATAACGGGAAAATAAATAAATACATCAAGAATGCCAAAGAAAATAAATTCTTTTTTTTTTTTTTTTTAAACTCGATACGAATTTAAATTTAAACTTAAACGGTTTTTTTCTTACTAATGGTAGAGTATATAACAAAACAAAATAAAAATAATTTTTGACGAATGAATTGATTGACAAGAGGATTAAAACTCTTTGTAAATAATAAACCACCATTTTGCTTAAATAAGAAACGTTAACAGGTGAAAAATAATAATAATAATAATTTTTTGTAAGATTCAAAATTTCGTGACGTCATGTGTAATAATAATAATAATAATTAAAAACCACCGATAAGTAAAAACTTGATATTGACAAATGAATAAAAAAAAACAATTACCTTGAATAATTATTATAATTCATATAGAAATAAAATATTATTATTATCAGTATAAACTTTCACTTTATGAAGAGAGAGAGAGAGAGAGAGAGAGAGGGAGACATTTTATTGCAAAAGTGAAATTTTTTTTTTTTACAATTAATATTTTCTTGTTTTTTTGATGAAAAAAAAAAATAAATAAATAAAAATTTTATTTTTTGTCCAAATTCAAATAGTGGTTGAAACATTTTATTATATTAGTGCCAGGTAGTCAATCATGTTGAAAATACCTTTCAAGGTTGTTGAAATGAATAGTAGTAGTAGTATAAAAAAAAAAAAAAAAAAAAAAAAATTGAAGGCCGATCAAAAACCGCACACCATCATTCTATTACATGAAGAAAAATTAAATTTTGAAGAATAAAAAAAAAAATCATAACTAATTTATATTTGTGTAATCTTGGTTCCCTCCCCCTCCCCCTCCCCCCCAACCTGTCTTTTTTTTTTAAATAATTTTTTTTTAAAAATAAAATCGTTATTTCGTTTATAAGAATTAAATAAACGTCTTTAATTTTACTTAATTATTATTATTGAATAAAAGAAAATAAAGCAATTAAATTAGCATACAAAACAATATGGTGAAATATTTATTTTTCATTGTAAATTAATCATGTGTTATCATTAAACAAACACTAAAGTTGAAAAGTTTTTTTTTTTAATTTTTATTAATTACGTAAGTTGTGCGTAATTGAATTATGAAAAGAAAGAAAAAGAATGAAAAAATTGTCACATTTAAAATAAATAGTCATTCTAAGAATTATATTATGAGTAATGCAATTAAAATCTAACATGTAATTAAAAATTTTTTTTTTTTTTTTTTATATAAGGATTTAATGTGTGAAAGCTAATAGAAAATAATTAAAGTTAGTTATGTGCAAATATAGAGGAAGTATATAATATTA